TCTCTAGCTTCCCAGAGAATCCTAGGATAAATCCCATCCGGCCCAGGAGACTTATCCATTTTCACACCTTCCAGAATTGCTAACACCTCCTCCTTACGAACCTCAATCCCGTCTAGTCTAATAGACTGTATCTCAGTATTCTCCTCAACTACATTGTCTTTTTCCTGTGTGAATACTGACGAAAAATATTCATTTAGCACCTCTCCTATTTCTTCGGACTCCACGCACAACTTCCCACTACTGTCCTTGACCGGCCCCAATCTTACTCTAGTCATTCTTTTATTCCTGACATACCTATAGAAAGCTTTAGGGTTTTCCTTGAAGAAAGCTTTAGGGTTTTCCTTCTTTAGTAAACCACGGTTCCATCGCTCGACCACTTCCTCCCTGCCTGGCAGGTACATACTTATCAAGGACACGCAGTAGCTGTTCCTTGAATAAGCTCCACATTTCAATTGTGCCCAGCCCCTGCAGTTTCCTCCTCCATCCTATGCATCCTAAATCTTGCCTAATTGCCTTTCCCCCAGCTATAACTCTTGCCCTGCAGTATATACCTATCCCTTTCCATTGCTAAAGTAAATGTAACCAAATTGTGGTCACTATCACCAAAGTAGAATAGGTTGACAGTGCTTCACTCCAGTGTTCTGTCCAAAATACAGCTCTCCGACGATGCAGAACTACTTCAGTACGGCACAAGGTTACCAATTAACCTAAAATAATCTGTAAAATATTCAAATCTGTAGCTAAGCTTGAATTCCTAAAAATCCAATTCACGCATAAGACTGTTATGAACCAAGAGTAACCTACTAAGGCCGTGTTATTTCTGACTAACAAGCTAGTGATTATGTCTCTGTGAAGTTACAAGCATGATGCACATGACTGTTAACCTTTTGAAGAATTCACCGCAATGACAAGGAAACTACCATGAGCTGGCAACAAAGAAAATTTGAATAAAATCGCCCACGAAATTGACAGACGTGAGATAACAGCCTCAACAGCAACACCCCAGGAATGTATTATGCAAATAGAACACACCTCCTGCAGAGCAGCTCACAGTGGGAAAATCTGTTTTGCAAAAGGCAGAAACATTTTGCAGCCTGTGTTGCTTTAAGTCTGTACGATGGAATTGATGTAAATTGCTGAAATTAGATTATTTATCAACGAAGACACTCACATTAGACCTGGAACAACTTCGCAACTTGTTGACTGTTAATTTTGCTGCAATTCAGGTGAAATCAGCATAACCAATACAAAAGATGGGAAAGTTTTGGGGGTAGACATAAATTTGAGTCCAACATGCAAATGAATCGCACATCATATTCAAAGTTGAGACTCCACCTCATGGACTTCTGTATCACCTAAAGATGATACAGTTGATGTTACATCTCTTTGCAAAATACAGCCGTACTGCAACCACTTTATTCTTGGCAAGAGTTGAACTTTTCAGCAATTTCTATATCTGTAACAAAAGGCTGGAAGTAGAAAATGCAAGCTACTCAAAGAATAGGAATCGTTATTTAAAAAGTGCAATTTTCTCTACATTTACACTTGTCCCAAACCTCCTCTATTAGTTTAACATACTTTTCTTCAGAATGCTGCAGATGGGCTGGCAGTGCACCACATCTCTCCTTCCAGATTCATGAAAACCTGCCTGTAATTCCACCTTTGAGGAAAAGGGGCTCGTTTTGGAAATGCAGCTGCAATATGGGATTCTGCCCTCCGAGAACCTGATCTATACAAGTGTCAAAGATAAAAGTCCTTTAATAAGATATTTGCAATGTGGTCTGCAGATGATTGATTCAAACATGTGACAATTCACGCCTGGGATCTCCTTAAAATCATGTCAGGATTTGTTGCAAAGAACTTTGGGTGTGTTTGAACATTTAAGCTGGGGCTACTTCAGACAAAGAAAGGGAACTGGGCTCTATCCCATCTCAAGAATTAGAAATTGAAAACTTCTAAGAAAAGGGAGATTCTGAAAGTCATTAGTGAAAACATGTGCAACAGATTCACAACATGTTGTAATTGGTTTAAGAAATCTTATTGAAATGGGCATAAGCAACATTTTATAGCCAGCATTATCAAATGATAAAACTGAGAGTGATATTTCTAAATTGAGTCTGGTTTATGAATGGGCATTAAAGTTTATTGGACTCTTATAATTATGTGAGCAGTTTAATGGAAAGCAGCCAGCGTTTTTACTTTGCCACTTTGACAACATTCATAGATTTTATCATGGAATCCCTACAGTGTAGAAACAGGCCCTTTGGACCAACAAGTTCACACTGACCTTCAGAACATCCCATCCAGACCCATCCCCTTAAACCCACCTAATCTACACATCCTTGAACACTACGGGCAATTTCGCATGGCCAATCTACCTGGAGCACCCAGAGGAAACCCATGCAGACACTGGGATAATGTGCAAACTCCAAACAGTCAGTCACCCAAGGGTGGAATCGAACCTGGGTCCCTGGCGCTATGAGGCAACAGTGCTAACCACTGAGCCCCTAAAGATATCTTTTCTTTTGCTCGCCTCTCTCCAATTTTGTTGCCTAGAGCAAGGTTCATGAGCTTTCCATCCACACTATTTGGCAATGTGTGCTTGCATCAAAATTAGATCAGCAGGTCTGGCAGCATCTGTGAAGAAAAAATCAGAGTTAAAATGTTTCGGAACTCAGTTCTGAGGAAGGGTCACCGGACCCAAAACGTTAACTCTGATCTTTTCCTTCACAGATGCTGCCAGACCTGCTGAGCTTTACCAGCAACTTTGTTTTTGTTCCTGATTTACAGCATCTGCAGTTCTTTTGGTCTGTTATTTAAGTAAAATTAGATGTTGTATTAAGGAGTTTTCAATCTCAAACATTTTTTCAGGTCATTCAGTTTATGTAAAGATGAGTAAAAGGGCGTACAAGGTCCAATCAAATGTTTTTTAAAAAGTCATTTTATTGATTTCAAATGAAGCAGAACACACAGGCAACGATGAAACTACAAAAAAGTGTAAAATGCATTGACATGTTGAGGAATTTTGAAAACACTGGTAAAACTTAAAAAGCACAACACTTTTGGCTGTACCAGATTGAAAGAGAATGCTCAACTGTCAGCCTGTTGTATATGCAATTTTATTATGCGCAAATCCAAAGTTTGCAAGTTCATGACACCACCCTGCCTTCTTTGAAGCTGAAAGTACACAGCAGCAATGTGTTCCGGTCAGATTTCAAAACCAATGTATTCACTTTTGGTAGAACAATGGGCATGATTGTGAATGAAATAGCAGCTAAACACAGTTATCCCCTCACTCTGGAAAACATCGCTACAAATCAAATGATTCTGGACAGATCCAATCATCTGCGTAAACAAAGCTTGGGCGTGGAGTGAGGCGGGAGGAACTGTTAACAGTTGAGTGTGAATTACCTTTTCGGAGAAGCCAGTTAAAACCATAGCATGAGTCATCTGCGATTCACCAAACATCAGTCGTTCTGCTTTGCCAAAGTTACCCAGAGAGACTCCAAACAGCAGCTCTCGGTTAAGTCTGCAACACATACAAACTTGTATGACTAACCAGTATGTTTTGATGTTTACGTTCTGTTATAATTTCGTCATGTTTATATACTCATTTGTATTTAGTAGGCATTGCCTCTATTCTTTGTGACAAGGTGCACTTGTGCATATTCCACATGAGACATACATGAAGAGTGAGTACCATAAAACTGGTAGATTGGTTAAAATCTTGTACATTCGTCACAAAAGCAAATATTATGCTGTTGTCATTTAACAAAAACGGCATGAGTAACTACAAACTATAAGCTGCACTTTTAACTAAAACAATTTTGATGTCTTTGGATTATTATAAGCATGTACAGTATCTTTTGAGGTTATACAATCCTTCTCTTTTTGCATTATTAGCGGCATGCTTCCAGTAATAAAGTTTAGCCAGTTTACGAATATTTAAAATGCACCAAGGATTGGAGTTAGTTCTTGGCTTCTCTCAGAAAATGGAATCCGTGTCAGTGACAGAAATTCATACGCAGCAAACTTTGCATCGTGCAGCATTCTACCAAAGTCTGTAATAATTGGACCTTCTTTGCTTTAAAAAAAGCCAGTCTCTTTCAGTGTTCAGATAATGCCGTTTTTAAAAATTATTCTGAGTAATAACAGTGTAGTGTAAATTTGGGAAGTCATTCTTAGGCTGTATATTGAAATGAGTAAAATGACTGGGTCAGTTTGGATACTGTGTCTGAATAAAAATATACCATTCAGAACAACTGTCTGCTCAATTTATTTTGAAAACCTGTTCCGAAGATTGTGGTTTCAGCCTAGTCTTCGATTGTGTGGATTTTACTGTTTTGCCCTGTCATGCTGGGACCTTTGACTGCCCAGTTACTTCACCGCTTCCCTCAACCCCTCAAAGATTTCTTATGTGCCTGGAGTATTGCAAGACCTTATTTTTAAATTATCTGCCACCACCGATGCCCTGGGTACGCCAACTGATAGATTTTACTCTATAATCTTTTATATCAGGCTTACTTCCTTCTCCCTACTTGAAGCAAGCAGTGACAATACACACTCCTTTCTCTGTAAGGGCACTCTGTGGTGATAGTCAGACACCACCCAGTGTATCCAATAGATACAATTACAGGGTGTACACTGTGTGGTTTTCAGCAGAATAGTGTTAACATTCCGACAATTTATTTATTCAGGTGTCCATCCCTCTTAATTTGTTCACGGCTTGTAAGCATTGCTGGCTGGATCAGCACTTATTGCTCATCCCTAACTGCCCTTGTGGAGATGCAGGTGACCTGCCTTCCTGAACTGCTACAGTCCTTGGGGAACAGGGGACACCCACAGTGTATTAGGAAGGGAGTTCCAGGATTTTGATCCAGAGACAATAGAGGAATGGTGATTTAGTCTAAGTGAGGCTGATGTGCAGGGGAACCTGTCGGTGGCGGTGTTCCCATGTGTTTGCTGCCCTTGTCCTTTTAGATGGGAGAGGTCGCAGGTTTTGAACTTGTTATCAAAAGAGCCTTGGTGAGTATCCTTTATTTTATTTTGCAAAAATATACATTATTCATAAATTATTTATAAGGACATTCAACTGGCCTACACGTGACTCCAGACCCACAGCAACATGGTTAACTCCTAACTGCCCTCTGGGAAATTAGAGATGGGCAATAAATGCTGGCTGAGCCAGCGACACACTCATCCCGTGAATGAAATTTTTTTTTAAAAAAAATCACACGAGCTGATTACAGCGAGGGGAATCCATTCAGCTGAACTTTCTGGTTCAAGTATTCCTCCAGCCTTTTGTCTGCACAACCAAGAATGAGTCCACACTGGGGAGAGGCTGTTTGGCTGCAGTGATTGAGGGAAAAGCTTCCACAGTTCAGCCAAGCTCAATACACAACAGCAACTTCACAATGAGGAAAAACTGCTCACCTGCTCCGTGTGCACAAAGAAATTTCTTCACTTGTTCTTGAGGCTCAGCAGGGGAGAAGCACAGGGACTTGAACTGCTTACACCAACTCTTCAGCAAGTTGAAGTATCAGATTCCAATAACATCATCCATTTATAATTTCACTGTTCTGTTTTGTTGAGAATGCGTGCGGATAAGACAACACGACTGCCACTCTTTAAAGGACCAAAAGGGAAATGAGATTTGGGATGACTGTGGACGTTTTGAGAAGGAGCTGAGAAGATTGTCTGAAGATGGATTCAGGATGAGCAGCAACAGTACCAAACTTCATTGATGTTTTCCTTGAATTACTGCTGAGTATTGAATTGGGCATGGAGACCCATAATTTTCCAGAGTAATGGTAGGAGAAGGGGGGACCAGTTAGTTCATTTAGCCAGGTGGTTAGCACATGGTTCAGGATACTGAGTGTAGGGTTCAATCCCTACTCTGGCTGAGGTAGACTTGGGGCCTGCCCTGTGGTCAAATCAACAGCATAAACTGTGATTTTAAAAAAAATTGCGAATTCTATCTGAAAAAGACGTTTCTTTTTGTTTCATAAACAGAAATTGCTGGAGAAACTCAGCAGGTCTGGCAGCATCAGTGGAGAGAAAGCAGAGTTAACATTTCGGGTCCAGCCACCTTTCAGAAGTTTTTGTTTTATTCGTTCATGGGACATTGGCATCACTGGCTAATTTGTTACCTATCCCTAATTACTCTGCAGAAGTTAATTGTGAGCCACCTTCTTGCATTGCTTGGGTTGTATTGCTGTTAGGGAGTTCACAACTCTGACCCCAAACAGGAAGGAGACGCGAAGATGATTATCAAACAGTCTTTTGGGTGGGAGGGCCCTCAGTGGCTCCATAATCCAGAGGTGTTTGGGCACGCAGCCACCTCAGTAAAGAACAGGGACCATCGAATCTGAACGATTTGACTTGATCTTGAGGACACTGAGCATTTTATCCTTGCTCATCTCTCGGATTTTTATGTTGCAAAATTCATAACAGGGATTCCCAGTAAAATCACTTCACACTTGAGGGTCTAAATTAAAATATTTCAAAAAATTGAATTTCAATAAAACAAGCGTACAATTAGGGCAACTGAAGTGGATAGGTGTTAAATAGGGCTATTATCCTGACCAATATCTTATAACATATCATAATGCTTTGTCCAACTTTTAATCTCTCCAGCGCAACTTGATTTGTTCCATGGTGAGGTGAGGTACTTACATTTTAGGATCATTGATCCCTAGCTTGCTGCAAAAGTCCTTCTCCACATCAGATCCAAACCAGACTGCCTAAACAGTAAAGACAATGACCAATTTCAGAAAGAAGCACAGGAACAGGATTCATTAAATACATTAAATCTAACTCATTAGCTGTAAAATGTAATCACTACTGTAACACAGAAAACATGGCAGCCAATTCTGCACAGTAAGGAATGATGAGAAAGTCATCTATTTTAGTGATGTTGGGTGTGGGGTAAATATTAACAAAGATATAGGGAGAACTCCCGTGTTCATCTTTAAAATACTGTTGTGGATTCTGAGAGGACAGTCATCTTGAACAGCAACATGTCTGATAATACACCAGATCCTCCCTATAATACAGATGTGTCATTGTAGGCTTTGTCCTCAAGACTCTGGAGAAAGACAACCCACAAGAGTGCTGATCCAAGGCTGGCACTTGTTTGTAATCAGCAAGATCAACTTTTCATTTATAATACAAATAAAAAGGTCGTGTTTGCTGATGGGAATTAAGACACAGGATTTGCAGAGACCATACTGACCCCCAAAGGCTGGCTCTCTCTCTGTCTGTCTGTCAAAAGGGCCATGCACCAGTGAATTTACTTGCAGCATTTCCAGAAAAGGATCAGTACACACAACTAAGGTAAGCGCTCTTGTTGTGCATTGGTAGTTACCCTAGCAGTGAGCCAGGAGGCCTGGGTTCAAATCCTACCTGCCACAGTGCTGTGTAATAACTTCTCTGAACAGGTTGATACAGAAAGTATCCATACAGCCAGAACAGGAGCTACAGATGTTGGGTCTATACCTCTGTAAGCACTTGAACTGGACAGGGAGACTGCTTGGTTGGTATAAAAACTGCAGGTGCCAGCATATAAAACAAATAGCAGATTACATTTACAGCAAACAGCAGAAATACAGCAGCCATCAAGTGTCAGACACAATCTGTCAATGTGGAGACAATGACATGGATCCAAAGTAACTTTTAATTTGTTCTTTAGGAAAAGCAGACAATGCTGTGATGACAAAGAAACTGCGTGGAAGTGGAAAACTTTTCTGAAATTCAACAAAACTCTTGTCAAGAAGCAAAAAGTTCAAAGGAATGGTCTGGATTTTACCAAACACTGGTCAAGCCTCAATTTTATGGAGTTTCTCTCCACAAGTGCATTTTCTCATGCAATTCTCCGCAGTTCGCCTCATTATCTAAACACCAGACCTCCAAAGCCCAATCGTGTTACTATGTGTGCAGCCAATGGTGGATGTACTCACCACTACCACACCCTCCCAGGATGCCGGGACCATTGTTAACGCACAGCCAAGCACCAGCTCAAATGGCATCAATCAGGAGCTGCCCTTCACTGTTCCAATGTGTGAAATACTACCCCAGAAACAGCTGTAAAAGTGAAGTCCACTCCCCATTTTGTCGTCAGGGACCTGGAGTTCCTGATGGGTAGGGTGGTGGAGAGAAGGGCCACCCACTGTCCTCAGGTCCACCAGTGGTGACCATGACAACAGACCTTACCAGCCTGCACCAAGGTGCTAACCAGCTCACTGCAGCATCCACGGGGGGGGTAGGCAGATCCAGCAGTGCTGAATAGCCAGTGACTTTCTCCATTCCACCAGGCCAAATATCACCACCTTCTCTACAATACCTCACACTCACTCTCTCTCTGCTACTCCATACATCTCCCACCAAGGCTCATGCCCTACTACTCTCCCCTGGCTGCAACATCACCCCTCACTCGCAGTCAACCCCCAGACAACTGGCCATGCATGGCCTCTGCACTGGGGCACCTCACAACATTTCCGCAACCGTACCAGCACAAACAGCTCCGCCAACCACTTTCAGCTCAGCCAATCCTCCCACTTTGTCTCATTCCAAGAGAAAATATCCCACAATAGGATAGACAGAGCGAAGGTGGATGGTGGTGTGCCTGACGATGCGACCGACTGAGAGATAGTAAGAACTGCAGATGCTGGAGTCTGAGATAATAGTGTGGAGCTGGAGGAACACAGCAGGCCAGGCAGCATCAGAGGTGCAGGAAAGTTGACGTTTCGGGTTGGGA